TTTATGTAGATAGACTTGCTAGATTTTTTGTTTCATGAAACTTCTGTAGATAGATATGCTATATTTTTATAAACTCATATGTTGCATATATTATAGAGTGGCTTAGAAAAGTATTCATACCCCTTGAAATTGTCCACATTTTGTCATGTTACAAACAAAAACATAAAAGTTTTTTTATTTATTGGGATTTTATGTGATAGACCAACACAAAGTGGTGCATAATTGTGAAGTGGAAGGAAAATGATAAATGGTTTTCAAAATTTTTTACAAATAAATATCTGAAAAGTGTGCCGTGCATTTGTATTTAGCCCCCTTTAGTTTAATACGCCTAACTAAAATTTAGTGGAACCAACTGCCTTCAGAAATCATCTAAATAGTAAATAGAGTGCACAGATGCAACACCTCCTGCGCTCAGGGACCCAGACCAGTAGAGGGCCGATGTACCAATACTATGTAAGAGTATGGGAATTCGTCCAGGACCAATCAAAGGCTGTGCAGCTCTAACCCGAAGCTGGGGAAGCTCGATACAAACTGTAGTGAAGAACAAAAAAACCGAGCGCAACGACCTTGCGCATTACCTCAGTAAACAATTAGTAGATTTATTGATTTAGGAGCTATACTCACTAAAGTAGTAATAAAACAGGCAGGTAAAATCCAAAACCGAACCATACGATAAGGAGACACGTGTGAATCCCATCAGAAGGGGAGATTCTCAGAGTGATGCTGACGCGTTTCAAAGGGGGGTCCCTTCTTCATCAGAGCTAACTAGACTGAGAGCCCTCTCCTCTTTATATAGTCAGGACCAATGTGTGAGTCCTGTGGAAACTCCTGTGCCAAAATGGCGGCTGGAACGCATCGCGCAGTAGGGTTTTGGGTGCCGGTGTGCATTCCACTGCCACCTGAACTAACCCTGCAGCTTCCCCCACTTTCACTGCCATTTTGCAAATCTGACACAGGGACTAACACTGTCAGAATTACTTCCAAATATGTGCTGACAGATCTAAAATAAGTGAAAACTCCAAACTGTCATTGCTGAAAGCTGCTTTTCTATGGTTTAAATTGAAACTAATACAAAACACTATATATATGATCCGATGCTCCATATAATGCGAAGGTAATTCTATTCTATTTTAATGTATATTTTACTCAGGTCATTTCATCCGAGTTTTTATTTGCATCTATAGATTATAACTCTTTGATACTCACCCGTCTTATACTCCTTTTATCTATTCAGCGTGTACACACGTCTAGTCACATTTGAATTTTTTATAGTATACGTATAAAACTGTGTCATCTGTTTAGCATGTTTTTATTGATAATTATATATCTACTATTGTATCTAGATATTGGTATCTCCAAGGCTTATGTACTTGCATTTTAATGCTATATATATATATATATATATATATATATATATATATATATATATATTTATATTATTATCATCATATTTATCCTTGTTGTGACACGTTGGCCCCACCTCCTAGGATAGGGTGGTCCCTCCCCTCTTTGGGAGGGCTCACACATTGGTACTGACTATATAAAGAGGAGAGGGCTCTGTCTGGTTAGCTCTGATGAAGAAGGGACCCCCCCCCCCCCCTTCGAAAACTCGTCAGTGTCACTCTGAGAATCTCCCCTTCTGATGGGATTCGCACATGTCTCCTTATCGTATGGTTCGATTTTGGATTTTACATGCCTGTTTTATTACTACTTTTGTGGGTATATCTCCTAAATAAATAAATCTACTAATTGTTTACTGAGGTAATGCGCAAGGTTGTTGCGCTCTTTTTTTTGATTTTCACTACAATAGAGTCCACCTGTGTAATTTAATCTCAGCATAACTACAGCTGTTCTGTGATGCCCCCAGAGGTTTGTTATTGAACATTAGTGAACAAAGAGCATCATGAAGGCCAAGGAACACACCAGACAGGTCAGGGATAAAGCTGTTCAATTAATCATCTGAAAATGGAAAGAGTATGGCACAACTGCAAACCTACCAAGACATGGCCGTCCACCTAAACTGACAGGCCGGGCAAGGAGAGCATTATTCAGAGGAGCTGCCAAGAGGCCTATGGTAACTCTGGAGGAGCTGCAGAGATCCACAGCTCAGGTGGGAGAATCTGTCCACAGGACAACTATGGCACTGCACGTCAAGTGATTCAGAAAAAGGAGGTGAGCACAGCTGGGCGTTACTTCCTGCTACAATATGCCAGATATGGCCGTAATGTGAGTGGCTGTGACTTCTTTCTCACTGGAGTTCTGAAATATAAAACAAAAACTGAACAGTTTCTGTGTATATCCAGTGATACAGTTGAAATACATCATTGTGGATAGCCCCAGCTCCACGTGCTAGTCCGTATTTATTTATTATAGCAGTTGGAAGGAGATGGTATCTTGTACTCTTGGCAAGTGACTGGAGGTGAAATTCAGTAGAGTCTTGGCTCTTTTTGCAAGAATCAAGGTTTGCAATTTTTAGTGCTACACTAATTTTTATGGTAAAAAATGAACAATTGACATAGCCCAGTATCCTACAGCAACCTTGATCAGCTTAATTATCATCTGATTTTAATCACCTTAGCCAAAATTCTTCAGTGCTCATTGTTCTTAAATGTAGTAACCTTTTGCAGCTAATCAAAATTATTCTGGGTACTGGTCTAACGTCAGCAAAGGAATTCTAATTAGTATTGTATATAAGTATTTAAGTGACAGTGTTATTTAAAAACAAAACAGCTAAAAGCAGTTATCTACAAAAGAATACGCATTATATCTACCTCTCCAGTAGCTAATGTCTCCTACCTTTGCGCTGTTGAAGTGCTATAGCTCAGCCTCTCTCAACCGGAGTGCCGCGGTACCCCGGAGTGCCGCCAGAGGTCTTCAGGGATGCTGTGGGGAGAATGGCTGTCACTTGAGCCCGAGCTCCCAATCCCAAGCCGCACTGTACGTCAGCACTGGGAGCCATCAGACCGCTGAGCAAAGTGAAAGCAAAAAGGGAAGGGGAGTGTTTTCTGTGCTCTCTGCTTCCCCCTAGAGTGCAGTACCCAGATGTGTGATGGAAGCTAAGGTACTTTTCATAATGCTGTATACATGTGCCTGTGTGTGTGTATATGTACCTATGTCTGTGTACATGTGTTTGTGTGTGTGTTTTTATATGTGTGTATATGTATTTTACTTTTAATCTAAACCCCTTATTCCTGTCCTTTCAGAACTGGTTTTTTAGGACTTGTTCGTAATAGCAGCAAGTACTGCTGCTCCTCTGAAAAGCAATTCATGCTCAGATCGCTTTTCAGAGGCATTTGACAGTTGATGAAAAGGCAATATGTTGCCTCCTCATCACCTGGTTTAAACCCCAGCATTAATCACCACATCACAACTATGTGCAATACGCACAGAGTTGCGAGGTAGTTGTAGCTCACCTGGAGGTATACTTCTAGCCGAAGCAACAGCATGTGTATACCCCCAGCTGCTGTTTCTGCAGCTAAAGGGGGAACAGTTGGGGGTGATAAAAACAGCTCAATTGCGTGGTTTTTTACTGACCTCCAACCTCACAGGTAAACAGGCTCTTGGTTCACATCTGTGTGGCTGTGTGTAGGACAGCCCATTCATTTCATTTCAGAAATGCAGGGAAAGTCATCCCTGACCTTAGTTTTAAAATTGCACCACACCAAAAAACACCCCAGGTTTGCCAATGTATGGGGTACCCCTAAAGAGTAGAGCATTTGTCTGCGTGTCAGGAATGAGAGTAAATTTTGCGTGCGTTCCGGGACACACAGTAATGTGAACCAAGCCTTGGACAGGTGTGCCTCATGACTAAAAATAATTTTCAAGGGTGCCCCGACTGGAAAAAGGTTGAGAAACACTGGTATAGCTTTTCATCTAAATCATCAGCATTCAACACTTCAGGAATGTCAGATGCCTGTAACCCTCCCCCTCCGCCCACTACTCCTACATCATCTGAAGACACCTTTCTTTTGCAGAGAACTGTTTGAGGAACTGTTTTTTTATGATGATTCAATTCTGATTGGTAATGCCAACTCCAAGGGATGGAGGAGGATAGGGGAGCTCCAGCACACAGCCTGTAGAGGACAGTCTCAGCTATGTGTGTCTCCCTATGAGTTTGTGTGTGGGGGGGGGGTCCATTCCCTCCACTCAGGTCTCAGCTTGCAGTCAGCTCTCTGTGCTTTGCAAGATCTGATGTCAGATTCCTTCACCCTGCCTGCTAGAGCTAAGAGATGTGTAAACTGGATTCTTTAGGAGGCTGTAGAGGAGACCGCTACAGATAAACAGGTACAACTTATGTAGGAGGATTTGTTTTATCTCTGTGTATCAGTCACTTCACTGGGTATATGTAAGGATTTACAATCACTTTAAATAAAGCAAAATGAGCAATAATATATTCTACTCTCACTGAAATCAGGGAATTATTGGCCATTATGGGTTATCACACTTTGCACATCATCACTACACTTAGAACTGCCTTGTTACAATAGACTTGCAATGGTGTCACCCACAGATAAGAACAGACCGCCTCCATGGACAGATCTAGGCAGGCTGTAGAAGTCAACTAGAAATGTATTTTTTATCTGTGGTCTGTAAGAATGGGTACAAGAAGTGAGGGTGTGTGTTGCTGCAAGGTACATGCAAATGTATTTATAAAATAACTACACCAAAAAAATGCTTCCAAACCAGTTTATTTGAAATTCATTTTGTTTAAAAACAGAAATGTATCTGTTTTCTACACCAAATACTCTGTTCTGTATTAAACTGAGAATGATCTTTAATTATCATGTAGGACATTTAAACATCATCTGAAATGTCAAAAAAGCATGTATTCCAGCATATGGTTAACATTATACAGTTGTAAAACCAGTGCCTTTTGGGTTTTCACCAATGTTTTTCAAGAATTAAAACAGATAATGTGCTTTTGCTATTGAGGGGACTTCAGTACATAATTGAGGTTCCTGGATATCCTCAAAGCACCAAGATGCTTACATGTGTTATAATTAATGCTTGTTCCACATTGGAGCTGCTATTGGCCCTTGTGGTGAGCGTTCAATCATTATATACTCCTCTGGGTTATCTATAGCCTGGTAATGTATCAAAAGATCCTGAATTGCACGTTCTTCAATCTAAAGGAAAGTTAAGAAAACACATGAGTTAAAAATCTTAAAAACCTGCAACCTTACATGCAATTCATAATATACATATATATATATATATATATATATATTATATATATATATATAATGCATTTACAGCCTCTTTAACCTTTCCCTAACAAAAACAAGAAAAAAAAGTAAAAAAGTTGGGCATTTTAACTTCCTGCCCAGGCCAATTTTCAGCTTTCAGCACTGTCACACTTTGAATGACAATTGTGCGGTCATGCAACATTGTACCCATATTAAATGTTTATAATTTTTTTCACACAAATAGAGCTTTCGTTTGGTGGTATTTAATCACCACTGGGCATTTTATTTTTTACACTATAAACAAAAAAATTAGCAAAAAATTTGAAAAGAAAAAAAGTTTTTCTTTGTTTCTATTATAAAATTTTGCAAACAGGCAATTGTTCTCCTTCACTGATGGGCGTTGATGAGGCTGCACTGATGAGGTGGCGTGGATAGGCAGCACTGATGAGGTGGCACTTGTGGGAATAGAAGGAGGCACTGATATGCAGCAATAATGGTCACTGATGGATGGCACTGATGGGTGGTACTGCTGGGCACTGTGACAGCGAGAGGAAAGTGCTGCCGATAACCGGCAACTGTGTTTACTCCGTGACCTGCTGTGTCATTGGACACAGCTGATCACATGGTAAAAGGGTGCTGCGATTGGCCTTTTACCTCATCAAGTGGTCCACTGTTTCTGTAGGACACAGCGATCACAGAGATGGCCGGGTGCGTGCTCCTGGGGGCGCATTCTGGGAAGACATCATATGACGCCCTCCCAGAACTGAGTAAACGCACTGTAGCCGTCATTCGGCTATACACCATGTTCCAAATTATTATGCAAATTCTATTTAAGTGTCACAAAGATGAAATATTTTGTTTTTTCAGTGTAACTCATGGATGGCATTGTGTGTCAGGGCTCTTTTGATCACTGAAAACAATCTCGGACACCTGTGATAATTAGATTGGCAGGTGAGCCCAATTTAAGGAAAAACTACTAAAGGAGGGCGTTCCACATTATTAAGCAGAGCACCATTTTCAAGCAATATGGGAAAGAAAAAGGATCTCTCTGCTGCCGAAAAGAGTGAAATGGTTCAATGCCTTGGACGAGGTATGAAAACATTAGATATTTCACGAAAACTTAAGCGTGATCATCGCACTATTAAGAGATTTGTGGCTGATTCAGAGCACAGATGGGTTCGTGCAGAGATAAAGGCACATTGAGGAAGATTTCTGCCAGATCCATGCATTGGATCAAGAATGCAGCTGCTAAAATAACATTACATAGCAGCAAACAGATATTTGAAGCTGCTGGTGCCTCTGGAGTCCCACGGACATCAAGGTGTAGAGTCCTCCAGAGTCTTGCAACTGTGCATAAACCTTCTATTCGTCCACCACTAACCAATGCTCACAAGCAGAAATGGCTGCATTGGGCAGAAAAATACACGAAGACTAATTTTCAAACAGTCCTGTTCACTGATGAGTGCCGTGCAACCCTGGATGGTCCAGGTGGATGGAGTAGTGGATGGTTGGTGGACTGCCACCCTGTTCCAACAAGGCTGCGACGTCAGCAAGGTCGTGGTGGAGTCATGTTTTGGGATGGAATCATGGGAACAGAGCTGGTCAGCCCCTTTAGGGTCCCTGAAGGTGTAAAGATGACCTCTGCAAAGTATGTGGAGTTTATGACTGACCACTTTCTTTCCCTGGTACAGAAGGAAGAACTATACTTTCCGTAATAAAAATCATCTTCATGCATGACAATGCACCATCTCATGCTGCAAAGAATACCTCTGCATCAATGGCTGCTATGGGGATAAAAGGAGAGAAAGTCATGGTGTGGCCTCATCCTCCCCTGACCTCAATCCTATTGAGAACCTTTGGAGCATCCTCAAGCAAAAGATCTATGAGGGTGGGAGGCAGTTTACATCCAAACAGCAGCTCTGGGAGGCTATTCTGACATCTTGCAAACAAATTCAAGCAGAAACTGTCCAAAAACTCACAAGTTCAATGGATGCCAGACTTGTGAAGCTGCTATCAAATAAGGGGTCATATGTTAAAATGTAACATGACCTGTTAAAATGTTTAAAAAGTTAAAATGTTGTTAAAGTTTGATTGAAATAGCTTTTGATTTCAGTAAATATGCTGCAAACACAACAAACGACAATTTTCAATTCTTTACAACATATAAAGTGTTTTCAAACTTACTGTGTGTAATAATTGGGAACAGTGCATTGTAAGTTTTTTATGTTTAAAAAAATCCTGTTATCAATAGGAGGTTTGTTCAATAAAATTTGAATTCTACTCTTAATAGTTGATAACATGAGAATTATGCTGACTGTTATTTACATCAATTATTTAGGTAAATGAGAAAAATATCATTTGCATAATAATTTGGAACAGGGTGTAGTGCGGTTACCAAGTGGTTAATAGAGGAACCATTTTGTTTAAACCCACCCTCCATAAAACAACCAGCATATCCAAAACAGAGAAGTACAAGGATGCTGTGATTGGCCTTTTACCTCATCAAGTGGTCAGCTGTGTCTGTAGGACACAGCAATCACAGAGATGGCCGGGTGCGTGTTCCTGGGGGCGCATTCTGGGGTACTTTTGTACGCACATTTGTATGTTTGTATCTGCCTACAGTAGTGCTGGGCACTGGCAAAACAAAACAAAAAACTGTAGGCCAACCCCGGAAAACCCCATCTCTGCTCAGCATTCTTCAGTTTGTAGCATGCAGTATCAAAATCATGAATCAGAAACAGAAAGGGGAAGGACCTGTGTCCCTCAATAGACTACAAGGATTTAATTTTATGTTGAATACAAAAATCCTATTTTCTTTCTTGTTCATCGAGGGACACAGGAATTTGGATACTCTTGGATTGTCCAAAAACAGTGCAACTGAAGGATGGGCAACACAGCAACAATGAAACGGAAATGGGGAATGCCTGCAGCTCAAGAGCTACATGAAGGAACAGAGAAGGCCAAGCTCCCTACTGGCAAACACCACACAAGTTTCCATGCTTCTAGCAAATCATCAAAATGGAGGCATAGGGCTGCAGATATCTGCTCCACACCCTCTAGCAGCAGAGGGTTTAGCTCTAGGAAGCGGCTGCAAGTGAATAATAAGTGTTATGGTGAATTCACACAATGCAGAGCAGCTGAAGAGATTCACTGCTTCAGCCACTCTGCATTGCCAGCTGTACTCACAGCTCCTTTTTTTTGTTTTGAATAACATTATGGAAGTATACAAAATGTTCACTTTATTCACTGCAATGTTGGGCAGACAATGCAGTGCAATTTGGCCCGTGTGCTGCAATAAAATGCAACATGCCTGCATTTTAGTGCAGTACAGCTCTAGGTTGTGTTGCCACATGAATGGGACACATAGGAAACAATTGTTTTGTATGTGTCCCTGCAGTAACAGACGTTTAACAATGTGGTAAAATGTCTGCCACCGTATATAATGTGAATGAGCCCTCAAGGAGTCCTGCTGTTCGGTAGGATTCTTAAAGCTAAGCACACCATCTACTGACCTAGTTTTCCTGTTAAGGTGAATCACTGGCCGATTCACTGGTCTAGACCACCATTTAAAAAATTACCCCTCGAAGGGGAACAGTTCCACACACACATTAAGGTGAGGTCCAGGACCGTACAGGGTTGGCTAGGCTGAGGAGAGGCAAATTCAGATAACTGCCATATAAAGACAGTGGTGTAGCAAGGAATTCTGACTGAAGTAAAAAGCCTGAAAAATTATATAAGACACTAGCAAAAAAAATTGTCTCAGCAGAGCTGAAAGTAAAGATGTCCCTCCTCTTAGGACACTAGCAATAAGTGAGACAAGATGTGTGAAAGAGGTGTTATACTGGGCTAAGCATACAGCTTTTTTTTTCCCCAGTGTCTAATCTTCCTGTAGGCAGCACTTTAACACAACAATAAGTGACTTCCTATGTCCATCAGTTTACAACAACTTTATATTTGTTTAGAACTATTTTTGCATGCAGTCATTTTGCTGGCTGTACTTGTTGTGAGACGAGCACATCCATGGAAAAAAATCTGGCAAAGCATGGGCATACCTAGGAGCATAATGGCCAGCATAAATACAAGTGTGAAAATGTTTAGAAGGAGCCACAAAACTACAGCTTTTTAATATTGGTATCTTTAATACCTGGATAAGTGCCAAAGGCTTCTCCCGACTCCTTATAAGAGCAGCTTCCTGTTGCTTTTCCTCTTCCACAATGTCAGTGAAAGTGACAGGAACAACTGATGATTTGTTTTTGCTTACCGATGAAAGCCATGGGCTGCAAAGAGAGAAGGTCAGAACCTTGGAATCCATGTTCAAAGGTCAACAGTTTCCATAGTACTTAGTTAATATTACCAGAATTCATATATGCCTTCAAGGCAGTCACATTTCCAAAATTATAAGGGTATTATAGGCTACAGTTCAGAGTCCATGTTGTACTCTTCAAAAACTTTCAGGGGTGCAAGGATTCAACCTATGTCTGTAGCCCTTTAAATGTCCTCAGATATTACCAGCCTCTGAGCTCAGGAGAAATAGAGCTCCGGACACAGAAGTGTGCAAGCTAAATCTCTGAAAGTTTAATGCGTGCTAGGAGTTTTTACAAAGTCAGAATGACCAACGAAATATTGTACTCCTATCAAGAAAGATAACAACGACAAATGACTGAAGACCACCATATAAGACAGTTCCATTTAAAACTAAACTCATGAAACAAAGAGTTTTTACAAGTGACATGGAGAAATGAAACAAACTTGTTCACACATCTAAAATGGAGGCGTTAAAAAAAAAATGGATGCCAGTTAATAAGACATTTTTCCTTACAAGGGGCGGGTTCAAAGCGGATGTTAACCCAATCTAAAATCTATAAAATCTCATAAATTTTAAGTTGTTAATGTAATTTCAAAAGACAGACTAAATCATTTTAAATCTGCAGTTTTCAATTAAAACACCTTGACAACCCTGTCATGAAGGTTCTTGTTCAGGCCCTTTCTTTTTTAGCGTGACAAAATTCTGCTCTTGGTTTCCAATTGTGCTCTTGAGTTGTCACCCTGTCATCAGGGCATCCAATGGGAGCTACAAGTTGCTGCATCAACACACATTTAACAGGTATAGGCCTTTGTTGTCACCAACATGTTGCATGTGGACAAGAAGTGACTGCAAATGGGCTGCAGGTGATCAGCAGCACTGAGCTGCAACAAAGAATGAAATAAAAGTGCGAACAAGTTTATTACATGCAGTAGTTTAGCAGTTTGTCATTCCATTAGGGGTTACATCTAACTGAACCTTGAGTGCAGTCTGCCGGCTAGCACAGATAGTTCTCATTTTATACATATTAATTAGTGAGGCCCAAAACAGGTATGCAATTTTCGTGTTACAGTATTTTAGGATTTACCCAATGAGGTCTTATACGGAGTCTTACAAATAGGTTGGTTCAATTGTATATGTATATGCATTAGTTATGTTCTACATTAAGAAACAATTGTAAAATTGCATTACTTTGAGCTGTCTTGCTGTGGCACATCACATTTCAGCTTGGATTCCTGGGTCACAGGTTCAGGGGGTCTCCTGATGATAGAAAAAAATGAAAATGCTAGTTTCAATACTTATATTTTACAGTTTTTCAGCATTATAGCTTGTAGTCACAAACATACTGCATGTTATCTTGTATAAGGGGAATTCTTTGAAGCCTTCCAAATCCCCAGAATTCACCAAAGTTAAAGAGTAGCATTTACCTCTTGTTTTAAACACCTGTCAAGGGAAAAAGGAGGCAGCCATTTTATAATCTTTTTCTGAAAATGATAGTTGTCTGGTTGCCATGCTGATGAGGTCTTCCAGCTTTCCCTGACTCTTGTTCTGCATACTTGTTCTGGGCCAGTGACACAAAGCTTCAAAGCCAGTGGGTCACAACATCCACAAAGCCCAACTCAAGCCTAAATAGTTTTTCTTTATATTGGATAGAGAGTGAAAGGGTTTAAACCTCACCTTCTATATCATGACCATCTCCCTACTACAGAGATTTCACTGTGCTGTTCTGTCTGGCACCAGTCACCTCAACAGAAGTGAGGGGGAATCATCTTAATGGAGACACAGACAGCAATAAGAATATTATATTGTAGTATGGGTGAACAACACACGTAGACATAGATGCAATATAAATCTGACAGGACCTTGACCTTCTTCGCTATACTAGAAGTACTGTTTTTTTTTTTGTTGCTACTGGTGAAACATACTTTTATTTTTAGTTTCCCCATACACCACCCAGAAAACAATAATGAATCAATGAAGCAAAGGAAAGCCAAAAGTCAACAGATCTAAATACTTACCATCTTAAGTTTAAAGCGGATCTTCACCCTGAAAATAAAAGTTTCCTCCTCTCCAACCCTTCCCCGCTCCACTAAATAAATCGCTTTTTTTTTGCCAAAAACGATTGGGACACCTGCCTTTACACGCACATGAATTTTAATGGCATCCCAGTCTTAGTCCGTAGGGTTCAATATTGAGTTGGCCAACCCTTTGCAGCTATGCAGCTTCAACTCTTCTGGGAAGGCTGTCCACAAGGTTTAGGAGTGTGTCTATGGGAATGTTTGACAATTCTTCCAGAAGCACATTTGTGATGTCAGGCACTAATGTGTGACGAGAAGGCCTGGCTCACAGTCGCCGATCTAATTAATCCCAAAGGTGTTCCATTGGGTTGAGGTCAGGACTCTGTGCAGGCCAGTCAAGTTCCTCCACCCCAAACTTTCTCATCCATGTCTTTATGGACTTTGCTTTGTGCACTGGTGCATTATTGCTCTTTACAAGCCACCTTAAAATATAATCAGAGACATGCTGTATTTCTGGTCAAAGGAAAACATTTTCTGCACTTCATCTACTGCAGACTTCTCTTTCCTACCTGTAGTAGGTAGTAGGTACAGTGAGGAACAGAAGTATTTGAACACCCTGAAATTTTGCAAGTTCTCCCACTTGTGGAGGTCCACAATTTTGTCTCTGGTGTCTTTTGACAGCTCTTTGGTCTTGCCCATGGTAGTAATTGGCGTCTGACTGACTGTGGGGTGGACAGGTGTCTTTAAAGAGCTCAGACAGGTGCTACTAAGTTAGATTAATGAGTGGAGTAGAGGTGGACTTTTTAAAGGCACATTAACAGGTATTTGAGAGCCAGAATTCTTGCTGTTTCTTAGGTGTTCAAATACTTATGTTCAGCAGTGCAAGAAAAATAAATTCTTTAAAAATCATACAATGTGATTTCCTGAAATTTTTTATTAATTCTGTCTCTCAGAGTGGGGATGCACTTACAATGTGAATTTCAGACCCCTCCATGATTTCTAAGTGGGAGAACTTGCAAAATCGCAGGGTGTTCAAATACGTCTGTTCCTCACTGTATATGTATACAGGTGTTTTGTCCATTTTGCATTTGAGGAAAGTTCCTTTGCCAGTAGGGTGAACAGGGAGAGCTCACAAATGTTTTTCTAAAGTTGGCCATAAACAGATTGAATTTTTGCTATCTCCTGCTGAATCTGCCAAGATCTTAACCTTGGATGACCAAACCATCACCAAATGGCTTGACAAACTTCGATCTGCAGATTGAAGGAACATGGCAAAAAATTGACAACCGTAACATGGCTGCAGCCAATGAACTGCAGTCACTGTCACCGGCTGCTCAAATGCTGCCAGGGATGATTCGTCAATCTGCGTTCCTTAGCGTGAATAGAGGAATCTGTTAAATTTCTATCACCTTACACACTTGAGGCTTGTAATAAGCATTAAGATTTCAAGCAATCATTAGATTCCCTCATCTATTGTAAACAGCGAGGATGGACGTATATCCCCTGCTGGCTACTGTATTCTGTTCGCACGGCTGTCAGAATCCCTGAACAGTGAATTCATCTGAATGGCTGTACTGTGCGATCGAGAATTTTCCTCATGGCTCCTTTTCCTGTTGAATTGGCCTAAATCTGAGCCATGTATGGCCAAGCATAAATACTTGCAGTGTTGAGAATGAGCATTAAACAGTATTACTTATGGGGAACAAGGGGACATACCCTCAACTTTAGTCAGACTGGCATCAAATATTAAAGCAGTATTAATCCAAAAACGTATCATATTGCAGCTTACCAATTGTTAGATGTGGTGGAATCAAGTTTATTTTTTTTTTAGGCTTTTTCCCCCCTTTGTTTTCATCTGGTAATCTGGGCAGTAGTACACCTCCTCTATTAGTGAGACACAACTCTGCATGAATGAGCACAAGGGGCACCTTTGAACAGCAGCATGGTCAGTCTTGATCTAACAAATTGAAGCCAAACTCCAACTAATATTTTATAATCAGTTACAGCCATAATTTTTTTTTCATTTTGAGATAAAAGTTTTAATTGAATGAATAAAAGCTGATTATTGTAAGCACCCCTGTCAATATTAAATGGTTAGTCTCCTCTCGGTAACTGATATATTCTGCTGGAGAGCCTGCTTTTTTTTCCCTAAAAAATAGCAGCCTTAATGGCTGGATCGTCAGGTGAAAATAGAAGAAAGAAAGCCTAAAAAAGAAAATTAAATGCCACCATCACATCTAAGAATTGGTAAGCTGCAATATATTAAATGTTTGTTTTTGGGTTAAATGCTGCTTTCTATCAGTCCTTTTTCAATTTTACTAAATAAATAAAAGCGCACACAAGTATAGTGTTAAGCCATAAACGCAATACAGATTTATGATATGAATGAAAAAACTCTACAGATTAACCTCCAGCACATAAAGCTTTTTTAAGATTACACATTTTTAGATCAGGTTTTGGATACCTACAAGTTGCTAAGTACTATGAGTGAATGTGAACACCTGACACCTAGGAATATTTAAGCTTTCTCTGATTTCATGGTTGGTTTGGGTCAATGACTTAATGTACTGAAGTCAGCATGAGGATTAAAGCATGTGAGGGCTGCATTTGCTTGCATGGGATGCACAGGTGTTCAGTGCATTCTTGTGCAAGCAGTCCCATTTATGTCAACTGGAACACAGTCCTACCAATTTGATCTGTGTGGGCACGTGTCCCAGAATGACAGTGTGAGTTCGGAGATACACACCCACACACGCACCAAAAAATGGATGTTGAATTGGGAGCAAGGCTGTGTCTGTGAAGCTGCTGTGTCCCAATTGACATGAATGGGACTATCTGCATGTGTGAATGAGGCCTAATACCAAATTAACCTTTTCAGAAGGACAGGCAATAGCTTGGTATTTCACCAAGGTATAGCTTTATTTTATTGTATTTGTTTTAAATTTGGCTGCTCCAGGTACTGCCTTGCTAAAACCTCTTCAGGGCTCCCAGCAAAGCCATTGTATATGATGTAAAAAAGATATCTGCTGTCATTGCCAATGCACCCTTCAGTACTTCCACCAACACAGTCAAAATGGGGGAAAGGCATGGCGACAATCTGACATGATTATATATAATTATGCCCAGATTACAGTGCCCACAAGAACTGATCAGTTGCTAAATGAGTATATTTACATACTATTCAGAATTTTCACTCTAAATTAGGCAAATATTAAATCACTGAAATTCTGAAACAAAAATGATTTTATATTTATTCCAACTACACTTTTATATGCGGCTCTACTGGAGTTTCATTTTGTTTAATTTAGAAACTGTTACACAGTCCTTCATTTTACTGTGGAAAAGGCTATATTTGAGGCCAGACAGGCTGTGGTTTGGAAAGATTTGGGCTCAGTTAAAGCTTTGAAACTTTAACATTTGCCACAGCTTATAATTCACGAGTGTCTGAGCTTCCCATGAATGAAGCTTGTTTTATTTATTGAGGAAAATTTATACCGAATTCTGCAGATAAAATTATATTTTGTGTACAAAATTAATTGTCTGTGCTCTCTGTTTAAAAACTCTATGGAGTCCATTTTTAAAGCAGTGAGTGTGATTTTCACCAAATATTCTCTGGTGGAGAAATAATGACAGGATTCAGAAGATTCACCTGCAGAGAATGTTTGCTGACTGTCAGATTTACTGCTTTATAAATAAAGAGGAAATGCAGTGGCACTATAGGAGGGGAGGTGACACTAAATAAAGCCATGGAGAAAAACACAAAAATATAGACATTCAAGTCAATATGGTACTGGTGATAAAAGTCTTTAGAATCATAAATCCATATACACTCCTTATGAAAGCAGCCAGCTGTCAGAGTAGAAGCAACTCCAAAAAGACAATGAAGAGGGGAAACACGGCAGCGCTATCTGAGTGTAGTAAGTAAAAGCTGATTTATTAAAATCAATATAGCAACTCACAAACAAAAATTAAAAGACTGCTCGTCATGTCAGTTGGTTGCCTCACTGCAGACTCTCAAGCCAGACTGCTATTGGTAATGTGTCCCACAACTCACTTACACGCCGCAGGCTGGAGGAATGGCTGGGTGTCCAGGGCTCCTCCTATGATAACGGAGAAGTCAGGAGGCAAATGGCTGCCCAATCCTGAAAGGGTACTGACAAATAAGGTTTTTGCTGAAATGTATCCTACGGAAAAAGAATTTAAATTGGAACTTCACACTCTCAATTAACATGTACTATTTTT